GATCACGTCTAAATGTAATATGTTGGCATGGATCTTTCTAATGGTTTACTTATTTCAAGTATGTGGTACATGTTTGTGTGTGTGTGCTTTTATGCGCCCTACTGTATTTGTTCTTTCTGTGGCGTTGAATAAAATTTATCAGTATTGACGCTTAATAAGTGGTATAAGATTTATATTGAATACCCAACAACAATTCGAGTTATAAGGATCAACTGGTTCTTGATATAGTATCAGAACCTTTTATGACCGAAAGGTTTTCTATTAGAATCTTGATGAACCTCACTTGTTAAACACAAAGTATTCTGACATATACAAACTTTAAACTCAAATGAGTATGCTTTCGTTTGGCCAACCAACAACTTGAGTTATTAAATTGTGATCTAACTGCACTCTACAGTTTCCATTCGACTACCAATTCACAAGTGAACTTGGACATATGTTATTCTAGCATTGATTTGGTATTTCTGCGACTACTATTTGTGTTATCGTTTCATGTGGGCTAAATTCTTTCCGATTATTTTTTAATTTTTAAATTTGTTTAGATTTATATGTTATTTTACATATATATTTTAAAATTGAGAGGTTGCATCCTCCCTAATTAATTTCAACCTAACTTCATCACTTATGATTTTTCATGCCCTGCTAAAGCCTTATTGGAGCTCGAGTACGGGAGCTTGAGAAATAATAACATTAGCGTAATTTTACATTTATGTGTGCTATCTTCCAACATTATTACATAATAATTATAAAATTTAGAAAATAAAAAATTTAATTTTCCAACGAAAAAAATCATTTTATCCTCCAATTGATTAAATTAGTTTTTCTTTTTAGCGTAATTAATTTACGGTCATCGAAAAGCAGTTGAAATTCGTTTTTCATTGCTAACATGTTAGTTTAAGCTATTGGAAACTACTTTGGTTTTGCGAGGTCGGCAATTCTGAGGTGCCGTAGCGGCATTGGTGCCGTCAGATTGTTCTAACCGGTTTTTGAAATAAGATGGTTGGATTCGTCAAATTTGTGTGGGTCTGATCTAGCTATTAAAATAAGAAAACAAAGTTAAAACAAAAGGAAAAGAATGGTAGCTAGGTTGGGGCTTGCGGGTTCCTTTTCTCTTTGATTCCTTTATTCTTTTCTTTCTCCTTCGAGTCGCACCATCATAGCTGTTGTCGCCGGCCGACCATCATTACCAAAATCCCCTAGTCAGCCGGAATCACCACCGTCATGAATCCCGTTGTCGTTGCCTGGGCATCGTTAACTTCGTTTCTGCCGCAGAAATCCACGACCAACATTGTCGTCGCCGCCGCCGATCGGCCATCACCACCCATATTCCAAATCCTTGTCAGTCGGATTCACCACTGTCATCAGCCCCGTTGCGTCCGCCGGATCATCTCCAGCATCGTCTCTGCTATAGCAATCTACCGCCGTCATCTCTGTTGCCGCTGGTCGGCCGTCACTCGTCACCAAATAGAATAGGCTCAACCAAATATAATAGGTTCAACCTATATTGGGTAAGTGGTGGTTGATAATTAATGGTCCATATTAAATATAATAGATCCAGCGACTATAAAACAGGCGGCACTAGCTAGGTTGGGGCTTGCGGGTTCCTTTCCTCTTTGATTCCTTTATTCTTTTCTTTCTCCTTCGAGTCGCACCATCAATCTACCACCATCATAGCCGTTGTCGCCGGCCGACCATCATTACCAAAATCCTCTAGTCAGCCGGAATCATCACCGTCATCAATCCCGTTGTCGTTGCCTGGACATCGCTAACTTCGTTTCTGCCGCAGAAATCCACGACCAACATTGTCGTCGCCGCCGCCGATCGGCCATCACCACCCATATTCCAAATCCCTGTCGGTCGGATTCACCACTGTCATCAGCCCCGTTGCCTCCGCCAGATCATCCCCATCATCGTCTCTGGTATGGCAATCTACCGCCGTCATCGTTGTTGCCGCTGGTCGGCCGTCACTCGTCACCAAATATAATAGGCTCAACCAAATATTATAGGTTCAACCTATATTGGGTAAGTGGTGGTTGATAATTAATGGTCCAGATTAAATATAATAGATCCAGCAGCTATAAAACAGGCGGCACTAGCTAGGTTGGGGCTTGCGGGTTCCTTTCCTCTTTGATTCCTTTATTCTTTTCTTTCTCCTTCGAGTCGCACCATCAATCTACCAACATCATAGTCATAGTTTCCGGCCGACCACCATTACCAAAATCCCCTGGTCAGCTGGAATCACCACCGTCGTTAATCCCCGTTGTCGTTGCCTGAGCATCTCTAACTTCGTTTCTGCCCGCAGAAATCCACGACCAACATTGTCGTCGTCGCCGCCGATAGGCCATCACCACCCATATTCCAAATCTCTGTCATTCGGATTCACCACTGTCATCAGCCCCGTTGCCTCCGCCAGATCATCCCCAGCATCGTCTCTGGTATGGCAATCTACCGCCGTCATCGTTGTTGCCGCTGGTCGGCCGTCACTCGTCACCAAATAGAATAGGCTCAACCAAATATAATAGGTTCAACCTATATAGGGTAAGTGGTGGTTGATAATTAATGGTCCATATTAAATATAATAGATCCAGCGGCTATAAAACAGGCGGCACTAGCTAGGTTGGGGCTTGCGGGTTCCTTTCCTCTTTGATTCCTTTATTCTTTTCTTTCTCCGTCGAGTTGCACCATCAATCTACCACCATCATAGCCATTGTCGCCGGCCAACCATCATTACCAAAATCCCCTCGTCAGCCAGAATCACCACCGTCATCAATCCCGTTGTCGTTGCCTGGGCATCGCTAACTTCGTTTCTGCCGCAGAAATCTACGACCAACATCGTCGTCGCCGCCGCCGATCGGCCATCACCACCAATATTCCAAATCCCTGTCAGTCGGATTCACCACTGTCATAAGCCCTTTGCCTCCGCCAGATCATCCCCAGCATCGTCTCTAGTATGGCAATCTACCGCCGTCATCGTTGTTGTCGCTGGTCGGCCGTCACTCGTCACCAAATAGAATAGACTCAACCAAATATAATAGGTTCAATCTATATTGGGTCAGTGGTGGTTGATAATTAATGGTCCATATTAAATATAATGGATCCAGCGGCTATAAAACAGGCGACACTAATGCCGCTACGGCACCACAGAATTGCCCGATACGAGGTATGTACGTGCGTATTATATTAGTGAAACATTCAGCGGTTTAGACAGATCGATATTGATGACAAATAAAGCAAGGTTTCTTTTGATTTTTATTTAATTATATTGGTGCTACTATTTGGGGTGCGCCTAGGGTGACATGCATGTCACGGTGACTTGCACTTTTCGATCGACCTCAGTTAGGATTAGGTCGACCTCATTTAGTATCAGGTCGACCTCATTTAGGATTAGGTCGATTTTCAATATATTTCGAGAAATGAGATCAATTTTCAATATATTTTTGCACAGATGGAACGCGTTCGTTGTGCTCTACAAAATGAGGTCAATTGTTTTCAATATATTTCGAGAAACTTTTTTTTACCAACTACATACCATATGGTAACTTCTTCGTTTTTAAGTCGTTTTTGAAAACGTTTGCTCAGAATGAACGAGTTCATCATGATCTATTTGATCTACAAATTTCTGGGTGAAAAAAATACTGGACCAAAAATTACCATACTTTACCACTATGGTATATGGGTGGTAACTTGGTAACTTGTAGTAAACAATGATTAAAGTCGTAAATGATAGTTAGTATACTCCTACTATCATGTATTCAACCTTCTTACCATATTGGTATGTTCATACCATCATGGTACCATATGGTAATGATTGGTAAAAAATTATTCAATTTTTTTTGTACTAAAAATCTATCAAAGTGGATATCATTTCAAAGAGCAAATTTAATTTGATTTATCTGTGCAAACAAATTTAAATTTCAACTTAAAATGAGAGAGAAATCGTCCGTTAAAGATTAAAGGGGAAAAGATAAAAGACTTTCCAGGAGAGAGAGTGATACTAATGTCATGCTGATTGGACGGGTTACTCATAATTACTGACCATAAGATTACTCGCCTGATCCGTTCTCGACAAAATGATTAGAGTTTTATAAGAAAAATGCAATGATTAGAGAAGGAAATAGAAAGGAATGGATGAGGTATAAAGTAGGGATGACGACAAAATACGAACCCACGGGTACTCTACCAGATCCAACTCGGTCAATAAGGATAAAATCTGTGTTGATGCATTTTGGGCTGGTTCGGGTTTTGAACCTGCTCACTATTCATCGAGTTGGGTTGGGTTTAGGTATACCCGCTTCATGGATACCCGCCCACACCCATATAACTAATTTTTCCGGTATATTTAGTATTCTAAGCAACCAATCTTTTTTATGTTTGTGAAGACATGTCTAATTTTTTCTTTCTAATTGTGTAGAATGAAGTTGGTATTATGGATTTTGGGGAAAAAAAGAAGTTGATATTATGGAGTTGAGAGTGAAAAAGTTTAAGTGACAAGGAGGAAGAAGCTTTCAATTAATCATGTTGTTATAGATAATTTATGATTTGCTTTAATTTTCTTGCGTTTTCTAGATTGGAGTTGAACAATTTGTATGGTTAATTTCTGATTTGCTTGAATTTTCTAGAATGGTGTTTTATTTATGGATAATTTGTATTGAGAGATTGATATTTGACTTTTATTTTGATAGGAACTTGTTATTGTAAATTTTTTACGACAAAAACCCATGGGTACTCATGAACCCGCGAATACGCAGTGGGTTGTGTTGAGTTTGAATTTTTCACCTAGTGAGTTTACCCCATGTTTTTTGATGGATAAACCTATGAATCTAGATTTGGATTTGACAGAACCCAACCCAACTCGACCTATTGCCATCCGAGGAGAAACTCGACTTTTTTTCTTTATGGTACCCGAAACTCGACTTGAGACAGAGAGCGTGGAGCCGTGGACTCTCACTCTGTAACATCTATATTCTTACCGTGGGCCTGTTGGTTATCCGGCCCACAAAACTATTTACCGGCGGTAGGTGAGGCGGAAAACCACGCGCTCCCCGCCAAATCTCTGGCCCTTATAAATTCGGGCGACCAACTCCAACCCGCTCATCCTCCTCCACGTCCCAACTACAAATACCAAAATTTCCCCCAATACTTTTCGCTCTTCCATTATCCCATCTCCCACGTTTTCCCACCCATCCCGCAAAAGCAGAAGAAGACGGGGCCAAAAGATAAAGCGAAGTCACGCGCACCACCATGCCGGCTGACAGCTCATCCCTCCCCGGCAACGGAAAGACCGTCTGCGTCACCGGCGCCGGCGGCTTCATCGCCTCCTGGATCGTTAAACTTCTCCTCGACAGAGGCTACTCCGTCAAAGGAACTGTCAGGAATCCAGGTCTTATTTACTTTCCGTTTCTCCTGCTTAAAGAATTCGGAGATCGATTTCCCATTGATTTCACTTGGATTCGTTTCCGTTTTTCTGATTTTGGATGATCGATTCACTTCTAGATGATCCGAAGAACGCTCACTTGAGAGCACTGGAAGGAGCTGAGGAGCGGCTGACCCTGTGCAAAGCCGATCTTCTGGATTACCAGAGCCTCCGCGAAGCCATTAGCGGTTGCCAAGGCGTTTTCCACACTGCTTCCCCTGTCACCGATGATCCAGTACGCTCCGATCCCCTCTCTCTCTCCACTCGTTTCTTGTTTGGTTGCTGAGAAAAGTTGCTTTCAATTGAAAATTGAAATTGAGATCGGGATGGGAAGTGGAAACTACTGTTTTGGGGGTTATGGGAAGCTTATACGATTTGTACTAAGCTCTTACTAATGACGGTGATTACAAAATACTAATTGCGTCTGTTTTCAATTAAACAAAAAGAAATTCCAGATTGTCCCTATTTTAATATTAAATAAATTGCGCAAAGCGTATATGTAAGCAGATTTCTTGGAAGATGTGATTGCATATAAAAAATACGAATTAGTGGTGGGGGGCAGGGGGCCACCTACCCCTTTTCTTCTTGATCTACGAAGTAATGGTGATTAGCATTTTCAAAAATGGGATTAATTAATTAATTATACTACTGTACTGGAAAAAACATAAAAGGAACAAATGGTGGAGCCGGCGGTGGACGGGACCAAGTATGTCATAAACGCGGCAGCGGAAGCCAAAGTGCGGCGGGTTGTATTTACGTCCTCCATCGGCGCCGTCTACATGGACCCCAGCCGGAGCCCGGACACGGTGGTGGACGAATCTTGCTGGAGCGACCTGGAGTTCTGCAAGAACACCAAGGTGACGACCAATTCAACTCCTCCCCTCTACTGTTTTCCTAGTCAAAGATATGGCACTGCTGATTGTGGGGATGACGAAACGGGCAGAACTGGTACTGCTACGGGAAGACGGTGGCGGAGCAGGCGGCGTGGGAGATGGCGGAGGAGAAAGGGGTGGACGTGGTGGCGGTGAACCCGGTTCTGGTGCTGGGCCCGTTGTTGCAATCGACAATTAATGCCAGCATAATCCATATCTTAAAGTACCTGACCGGGTCCGCCAAGACGTACGCCAATTCGGTGCAGGCTTATGTCCACGTCAAGGACGTCGCGCTGGCACACATTCTGGTGTTCGAGAACCCCGCCGCCTCCGGCCGGTACCTCTGCGCCGAGAGCGTGCTCCACCGCGGCGAGGTTGTTGAAATCCTCGCCAAGTTGTTCCCCGACTACCCTGTCCCCACCAAGTAAGCTGTTTATCTAAAGCATTTATTGGTCATTATCGTTGGTTACGAGTCTCAACCAGATTTTGTCATAATTTAGTTAGGTGGTATTTTTTTTAACCTTTTTAGGGATGAATTAATCTCATATGGTGTTTCTTGCTAATTAGATGACGTCTTTGGGGATTAGAAGGGAAACGGTAGGAAATTAAAGTCGGGGATCTTGTTTTGTGGGTGAGTCGACCAGAAAATATTATTTTTTGGGAGTAGTTAGGTGTCTATTGTCTAACCTAACCTCGATTCCTTTTTTTGTTTTTATGGTTAGATTTCTAACAACGTCATTTTCTTACCAACCATGTTTAATTAATCCTAATTAGGGTTGGGAAAACAGACCAGACCGTTAGAAAAACCGTGGTCCAAACCGTACAGTACAGTTTGGTCTGGACCGTAGACCGTTAAGTATGGTCTGGTCTGGTCTGGTCCATGGTATGTATTATTTTATGTTTTGATCTCTTGGTTTGGTCTGGTCTAGACCGTGGTTTACCGGACCAAACCGTGGACCCAACTGACTTGTCAATACATGTTAACAGCCCATTCGACCACTCTCCCAACTCCCACAACGACACCGAAGTCTCAACTTTAGTTTTGTGAATCTCGTCCCTCCTTCATTCACAACTACATTTAACCAGAGATTAGAGATATTCGTGTCTCCATATGACATTATATTAATGTTTATGACGTTATGGTGCAAGTTGGGATGCTTTTACTTTGTATTTTTGTTATGTACTAAGATTTAGAGTATCAAAATTATTTATGCATGTTAGGATTAATGTTTTAATGCAAATAACAATTATTTTTCTTGGTTATTGATTCAATTTTTTTGTAGGTGACTAAACAAATTATTCATTTTTCCTTGAGTGTGGTCTATCTGGACCAGACCAGACCGAACCAGACCGTACAGGCGTGGTCTGGACCGGACCGTATAATCTGTGGTCTGGTCTGTGGTCTATACTTTAGACTCTCGGTCTGTACCATAAACCATATATATGGTCTGGTCCAGACCAAACCGCACCGTTTCCCAGCCCTAATCCTAATCCATGATTGCTTTGATTGTTGGCCCTATAATGGCTTGATTTAGAAATTAGGGCGTGATGAATTTTTATTCTCGCGCATTACCACTAATCCCAAGGGCTTGATTTAGAAAACCTATTGACCTACAAATGCAAATGACTTTGCAAAATCTGGACTTTTAGTTTAGCTAGCTTGTTCCTGTTCAATTACTCTAAATAGAAACAGGGGAACCCAAGTGTTAAATTAAGGAAGAAAGTACATCCAGGGCGTCTATATATCTACTTACTCCTTATAGTATTAGTCTGATGGTTCTTATTATGTGTATACTTATATCATCAAAATGGTGATGATGGTTGTTAAGAAATGATTGACAATAAGTTTTCAAACTTTATTTGAATTATCTTTATATACTTTTTAATTGGAAATGGGGACAAGGCAGCGAACACAACAAAAGAACAAAGGCGAGAATAGACAAAAATACCTACCACAACTTTTGTCCGGTTTTGGATACCGAGAGGAATTGGGTCCATAAGATGGATTTGTTCCTTCAGTTGTCTCTGCCTGCCAGTGCCATGTTAATGAATTCTCTAGACTCTTAGAGTTCTCCCCGCATTTGTCCACTATTTTTTTTTCTTTCATATAACAAAATTCTTACCCACGCAAGAATGACGTGGTAGGCATTAATCTGTTTGTCCATCTTTGAACGCCATAGAATGTGGCAGAGTGCATTATCTGTTTGCTCAATAGAGTTTGGTACCAAGACAAGAACGGGAATAACCATGGCGCATGCATGCAGGTGTTCGGATGAGAAGAACCCAAGAGCAAAACCGTACAAGTTCTCGTGCCAGAAACTGAAAGACCTTGGCCTGAAGTTCACTCCGGCGAAGCAGTGCCTCTATGAAACGGTCACGTCCCTCCAGGAGAAGGGCCACCTTGCCCTTCCTGCCCCCAAGCTGCAAGATCAGGAACCCGTTAAAATCCAGTCTTCTTGATAACCACAAACAACACACACCTCCACAGCACACAGCGTGGGGGCAGTGGTAACTATCTATCTCTTCATCCGCAACCAATTGGACCCTCGTTCAATCGTCTCGTAGTTAGAGAATGTAATACCGACTACCAACCAGGAAAGAGGCTGAAATGCTGCAGAGCTAGCTAATTAAACGAAGCCTGCTCTCTTCTTTTGTGTTCTATTCATATCTCATCAATTTACATGTTGATTTGATATATCCCAAGTGTTGTAATGGATACTTAGTCCTTGTCTCTTTTGATCCTGTGTAATTATAAACCCTCTACTGCCATTTTAAGGGTGTCTCATCATTTTTAACTCCGTTACTATTCCACTCTTCGGGGCAGGACAGGTTACAGTGATTACTACAAATAAATTATATTAATTAATTTTCTTAATAAATTACTTTTTAGGTAGTTACAAAAATCTATTAATTACAATCCTTTCTCTTTTCTAGTCAGATCTTCTTTTCTTATTTTTCTCAATCTTTCTGCAAAAGAAAACAAAATGAAATCACTACCAATCCATTAGACAACCACAACCACTTTGAAAAACATCAATACCATTGCAGAAATAAATCTATACCATTACACGAAAATTACCAATATAAACAATCTACTAATATAAATCTATATCATTTCAAAAAAACCAATACTATTGCAGATTTAATCAATACCAATACATACAAATTAATACCATTACATGATAATCAATACCAATGCAACAAAATCAATACAAATACATAAAAATACTGCTACTTATAAGAGGCGGTGAGCGGAGGTGGGGGGGGGGGGGGGGGGGGGGGAGGCAGGGGAGGAGGGAAGCTGTGGACGGAGGAGCACGAGAAGGTAGCAGAGGAGAAAGGGAGAGGGCGGGTAGTCGGCGGTCAGCAGCCGTCGCCTAGGGTTCGGCTAGAGGGTATGGTAGGTTAGGGTTTGGGTAGAATATATAGAATAATCAGGTGTGGACTCTTTTTTGTTTCCAAAATTACCCTGAAACAAAATTAACCGTGAGATTAAAAAAAGAGGGAAACAAGAAAAATGGATGCCAGATAGTGATGTAGCCACAGTGGCCACTAAAATTTTAGTTGTCATCCTAACGCATTCTAGTTTCCGCCTTCGTTATGTATGACATGATTCGGAGTCTGATCCTGCTAGAATAATGCATCAAAATTTCCACTAAAGAATCACTAATATTGAATATGAATTTGAAGGTCCTATATTCAAATCTCTTAAATAATACTTAAAATTAAAAATTAAACATATATCATCCTATAAAAAATCATGACTATTGAATACTCTCCTTTCTTTCTTTCTTATTTGTTTTTAATTTATATAGGATGAGAAATACATACACAACCAAAAGCTATTTACAGTTACCATTTCAAATGCTAAGAGAAGACAAACTGTTTACAAGTGCTAAGACTGACTCCAATCGGTCGGCATTTATGGCGATAAAATACTTTTCCCGCAACATATACACAACCACTAAGCCTACCACAAAGACAACCATGAGGCGCCCCAGCGGTGGGTAGTGGTGTCGTCTTCCTTCTTCTTGGATTGGGTTACTTGTGGGCCAATCAATGTCTCTTGTAAATTTGGGTTGGAGTTGAGAGCTTTGGACTAGCGATGGTTGGACCTGTGTGTGAGCTACTATCGATTCCTTCTCCAATTTGGGCTGAGTTTTCTTCAGTGGACTGCTCTTGAGCTCTAATTAAGACTTCTGGAAGGCTATCCCTCCTTTAGGCTTTGTCTAATATGTGAAATCCCGTTAATCTTCTCAAATATGATCCATTGCTCATCCACAATTATTCGAGCTTTGATCCAAAGTATCCTAGGTTATTTTTCACCTTTAAAAGCACATATACATTACCAAAAAGGCATAAAGACCCAAAAACACAATCTACATAAAATAATAGCCCATTGATCGAATAATTATGATTTTCATATGAATTCAGGTAAAAGCTCCTTTAAAAATTAGTAAAATAATTGTCAGAGATAAACATAATCAAAGATTTTCTTCACACTACTTTAAGAATTGGTAAAATTACTTCATATGAAAATTTGGTAACTTTAAAAAATTAGTAAAATTACTTCACACAAAATAATTTATAGCTAAGAATTGGTAACTAATAGTAAACAATTAGATGTGTAAAAATAAAAGTATATTAAATGAATTTTATTAATGTTTATAATGATCTGTGTAATATATATCATTAGATATATATAATATATAAGGTTAATATATACAATAAAGTTATTTGTAGCCTACTGATGTATAATTGAAACTAAAATGAACATGAGGTACTTGGTTCAAACTCTATGAAGAATGTTTAATCTTTTTATATAATGTGTGTAACAAAGAATTTCTGTTTCTGATCTGATTTGTCGGAATTTCCGAATTTGATTGGATCTAACCAGCATTGATCGGAATTGACCAAAGCTAAATACCGGCTCCTTTCTATCCGGTTTGGTGACCGATACCTTTTGTACCCAATTAAACCGACCGGCAGGAAACCGGTTTGACAACCATGGCTTCTTGTGAACTCATTATGTTCATGGAAATACTGACAAAAGCACAAGTGACCGAGCTCCTTCATGTTCGCACGGATCATCAACGGTTTGACAACCTAAGGTACAAGCACAAGTGACCGAGCTCCTTCATGTTCGCACGGATCATCAACGGGCTGATATACTGACAAAAGCACCGCCACCACAACCATTCTCATCAGATCTTCTCTCCAAGCGTGGTAGTCAATCACTTTGCCTGCTATACCTCAACGTCTTTCTTTTTGTACAGCAACTCTGAATCTCTATAACAAAACACACCTGTTAGCTTTGTCCTGTTATGCGTGAGATGAATAAAATTAGGAAAGAGGGGAAGAGGAGATCATCCTTTAATTTCTCACTCTAATTTTCGCAATCTTCAATATAACAAATCAAAGAATCACCAGTATGCTGGCAGAGTCAAGTGGTCTTGGCAATAGGGATGGAAATGTGCGGGTTTGGGGCGGGTTTGCCTAAACCATCCCCATCCCCATCTTCAAATACCCAAACCCATACCCACCCCATATCCATGCGGGGGAATGTTATGCAAACTCATCCCCATACCCGTGGGTTTCGGGTACCCATGGGTAATACCCATACCCGTACATCCAACATTATTATACCTAAAACTTACAAGAAAAGTTTTAATTAATACCCTAAACGAACCTATTGTACCATGAAGTCAACAAAACACGGTCATTTTCTTAAGATGATTCAAAGAATATGATTCTAAAACATCCATTAATACATAATATAGAGTCCAATATTCTTCAAATTATTATATTCTATCTCTGATAAATCTGCTAAGTAATAATTAACTAACATAATCTTGTTGACAAGGGGGAAAGTGAAAGAGTTAACGGAGAATTGAGGGAAATGAATTATGTTTTGATTAGGGTGGTAACTCAATTGCATTTCTACTATTAATTTTCTCAAATTATCCTCATCATCATTGATATATTACAATTTGATCCACATATTTTTTTATATGTGAATAAATTCTCTTGGTGGGGCGGATATGGGTATGGGTATGGGTATGGGGCGGGGAGGCTAAAACCATACCCGTCCCATACCCATCAAACTTTTTGCGGGTTTTACCCATATTCAGTCAAAGCGGGAATTCCCCGCGTTGACTGGGTCGGGGGCGGTCGGATACCCGCGATCATGAGTTTGATTGCCATCCCTACTTGGCAATGACATGTACTCATGTATGATATAATATTCAAGCACAAGCCTTCATTAGTATATCGTAGTCAATTGTTTATGAGGATCGGATCTCTCCAATTTAATCAAACAAAAAGAAACTCCAAGTGAATTATCAGATAAAGATAATGAGTAACGTAATTGGGAGATCGAGGTCCCTCTCTTATTTGACTCATATATATAAGAACCAAGTTGTAGTAGTATATATCTCCGTTGAACAAGACTTTGCAGTGATGACAACCTGGCCAAAAAAAAGAAGACTTTGAGATGGTACCTCCATATCCATTGCAATATAAATATGGACAAACCAACGAGTTAATAGCTAGGCAAAAATTAGAATGGAGGCCAGTTGGAAAAAGGGGTCTCTGCTTCTATTCCTCACCGCCGTTTTGCTTTGCATCGTCTTCCTTTGCTCCCCACCGGCACCGTCGTTAGTTGCTCCAACCATCACTGCTTCACTACCCAGTAAGTACTTATCGATCTTTTCCATGAATTACGAAAGAACCGGTGTTCTTAGTACTCTGTTTTCGTGTGGCGGCAGGGGGGAATGGGAGGAAGATGTTGATGAGGGGAATCGGTAGGGAGATGAAAATGGGCGTATGGGGAAGTAGTTCAGGTTCCGGCGGCCACGGTCACCACCCACCCAACAAGCGCTACTTTTGAGTTTTGAGGTCCATTTTGGTGACTTCTTCATGTTGGGATGAATAGCACTTCATTCGTAACAACTAACGTATTGGAATTTCCTTTATTCTCGTTCGTCCTTACGATCAATTTCTCTTTTCTATTGTCTTCGTGGAAATAAGGGCTAATACCACTAAAAATATCAACTTATATAGTGATATTGTCACTTGTTTTATGTAACTTTTGATATATTACTTGAATACTAAATCGTCTCTTTCATTAAGTTTTCCTTCTGACGTTACCAGAAAATACAACCAACATGCACGTGGCAGCATACGTGAAAACTTATTATTATTATTAAAAAAAATTAAATAAACATTTTCTATTAAAAAATGAAAAGAAAAGCCATGCTAGCATAAACCTCGCACCTAAGGAGTCGTTTGGAAGTTGTGATTGTTAAATAGATATATTCTTGTGAATACGTGTACAAGATTATACATATATAGTCAAATTCGATGTAGTGTAAAATCAGTTAAAACCTAAGATAAAACCATCTCAATTCAGCTATCTCAACAATCTCAGCTAAAAGTCGAGGAAATTGATATACTCGGCGAGGACGGTTTTGGATTTGGTGTCCGTTCACCTCCTTCTTCGTCAACAATAACCCTAATCTTCTCCTTCAAATCGCCGCCATAACCCACTCCTCCTCCTCTGATATTAAATGGGTGGGGGAATCATGGTTACTAGCTAGTGCAAAAAATATTATGTCATGGATTTGGCAATCGTAGTAGAAAGTGATGAGCCATGTAGTGGGTTTTCACCATTGGAATAATCATAAAGCTCTTAGACTTCCTTATACAAACGCCATCTACGGATTTGGTCTCCGTTCACCTCCTTCCTCATCAACAAGAACCCTTATAATCGCCGCACTAAGAATGCATCACAGAT